TCAGCCTCCTAGTACTGGGACTACAGGCCTGCAGCACCGCGTCCAGCCCCATGCTCCTTGCTCCTTCTGTCGCCGCCTGTATGAATGCCTGTGGGTGGGAGCCTTGGCATGGGAGTGCTAACATCACTTCTACCCCTCAGGGAAGCCACTGCTGCCCTCAAGGGTAGGATGAAAAGTACGAAGTGAATCAGACCAAGAACCAGCAAGCAGTATTCCTCACATGCACGCTGCTACAGGACAGTTTTACTTATCGAAAAACTATTTTCTAGTTTTGGTTAGGAGGATGCCTGTAATCTCAGCTACTGGGGAAAATGAAGCAAAAGCACAGAGAGCTCGAGGTCAGTCCGAGCATGCAGCAAGACCCTGTATGAAAATCGGCAGGGATGTGTTGGAGTGCACAGAGGACTCTAGCACTCTGAGAGGGTGAGGCAGCAGAATAAAATGTTCTAATCCAACCTGGGCACCAAGGGCTGATCAGACCCCAATACCTGGCAGGTTCCAGCCCAAGTAGAAATTGCTGAATTGTTATGGTGGTCATCTAACATGGCTGGAGCCCAAAACAACAGCTTTTCTTTCCGGTGACCACCTCCGCCTCCACGCCCCCAGCCCTGAATACAACTTCCTTTTACCTTTCCTGAATGTGTCACTGAGCCTGCCCCCCAAGCTCCACCATTAGCAAAGATGAACAGAAGCCCAGCTCCCTTTGTCTCAGGTCAGAGGGTGCACGCGGTCCTCCTGCCATCCTCGCCATGTCCTCAGTACAGGCCTTCCTTTCACCTCGGCTTCCCTGGGAAAACCTAATGGTACCCGTGGGGGGCAGTCACCAGTTTTATAATACCCTTAGCTATTACAGACTAATCAAGCTGGGCCAGCAGGCTCCCAAAGAAGGGACAGCAAAGCCTTAAATGAGACAAGTGGTGTGATTCTAGGGCTCCAGGAAGAGTCTAAACCTCTCACAGGCGTTTTCTAGGGTTTAGAGCAAACAGTTTCCCTGGGCTGCCGAGCAGTGGGAGAGTGCTTCCCTGGCAGGCACAAGGCCCTGAGTTCAATCCCCAGTACCACAAAAAAACCCCAAAAATTCGATTTCCCTGGAGGCCAGTATTTAGAGTCCCTTCCCTTACTCTTTCACAGGTCCACTTTCACAGACTATTTCAATATTTTCAAAAAAATATTAATCTCAATTATTTATCGCAGACTTTTTGCTATATCATGGGATTCTGCTGTAGTGTACAGTACTACATGCATAGTATTTATGATTTTTGCCTAATATTTAAAAAATATATAAACATTAAAAATATTAATTCTAACATAATCAAAGAATTAAAAGTTTACACTATGTATTTCTTTAGCAGATGAATACATATTGTACTGTATGGTATGCATATGTTGTTAAAATTGATACAGGAAACCTCCAAATGACACAGGGAGAAAAACTGATCTCCAAACCTAAAAAGTACTTGGGACGAGTTTGTGTTCTCTAAAACTGAAGAATGAATTTTAGGAACAAATGGAGTTTATGAGTAGAATATATTTACTGGGGAAATATAGCTGCTAAAAAAAAAAAAGCAAGCTTCTGTCCGAGAGAGGGACAGCAGGGGGGCCAGAGCAGGTTGTCCCCAGGAAGGTATCTCTTCCAGGGACTTTTATAGTGTGAAACCCTGTGGTGAGGCAGGGCTAAGGTGGTGGAGAACATGGGAACTCACTTAGGTGGGCATGAGGTGGGACAAAACTATGGTCAACCAATGAGATGACAAGCACCACTGCTCATGTAGAATTCATTAAATCCTGGACCAAAACTGGATTTAAGTGACTGGGGAAGCGAGTCACGGAGCAAGCAGGCATGAATACAGGACAGTCTTCCTGTTGGGGTTGGGCTAGTGATGCATTTGGGCTCTTTCAAGGTGACTGATACCTAGTTAGGATATCAATCCCTGATGCCCGTCCCTAGGGAAGTATGTAGCTGTGTTTCCTCTTCTGTCGTGGTCTTGAGGTGGGGCCCATACAGGAGTGTCTGCCTCTTCCAGGTTGTAAAGTCACCTTGTCTTCCACCTTGTCTCCTTGAGGCCTGGCCCTGTCTGACTGCCTATAATATTTCTATCTAATTTAGCTGCCTACAACAAAATTACATAGGTGTAGGAGTTTAGAAAACGGTTAAGAACATTGGAAGTGTTTTCGAAAGTGTAGGAAAGGTTTATAAGAGCATGGGGTCTATAAAGCCTTAAGATAAATATGGGGGGGGGGCTGGCGAGATGGCTCAGTGGTCTAAAGCACCTACTTGGAACAAGCTTGGCAAACACAGGGACCGCGGTTCAATCCCCCAGCACCACATGCCAGCCAGCCCCGCCCCCTGGTGGGCTGAGCTGGCCACACACACACACACACACACAAAAAATAAATAAATGTTAAAAAAAAAAAAGATAAATATGGGGGGGGGGGAGATGGCTCAGTAGAATAAGCACTTGCCTGGCAAGTGCAAGGGCCTGAGTTCAATCCCCGGTTTGGGGGAAAAAAAAAAAAAAGGATAAAAATAAATCCTCAAATAAATATAAGCTTGCTACCTCGCTAATTTTCACTTATCGCAGGGGTGTCTGGAATGTAGTAAGTGAGGGACCACTATTTTAGCTTTTCAAACAAAGGAGGGTGATACCTAAGCAAATGCAGGAATCTGGGCAGGACTTGGGACTCCTCTAAGGACTTTCTTCTCCAAGTAATACATTATGTTTATTAAGGAAAAACTGCACTAGCTCCAGGAAGACCGTCAGCAGGAGTCAGAAATAGGCTGTTTCCTTTTACCTAGCTGGGGTTGGCGCCTAATGTCCTCTGCTGTGGCCGAGAGGGCAGCCAACTTCACAGGCCAATATAGGTTTCAGCAGGGGCCAGTGACTCACAGATTCACCTATATGTCCACTGCCCATCTCCAGAAAAGGGTCTAGTCCTTGGAAAACTCGTAAACATAAAAAACCAATTGGTTAATGTCAAATCCTGCTCAGAGCCACTTCGGAGTGGTCTCCATCAGGCAATGTCAGGGAATAAAGAAAAAGTACAAGGAGACCAATAGCCGACCAGTAGCCAGGCACACCATCTGTGTGGTGGGCCCGCTTTTATTAGGAAGGGGGAAGAGTAGTGTACTTTTCATGGAACAGCTGCTGCAGTAAATGGGTAACAATTTAAAGGAGAAAAGCCCCCCTCTCCATAACAATGTCCCTGCATTCTTTGGATGGTTCCTAACAGATGTTACCTGCCTTACAAATGCTGTGTGTGGTTATAGCCCTTTCTCCGCAAAGCCAGGAAGCATGGGCCTTCCCCTCACTTCACCGTTCCTACAGCTGGTCACACTGGAGCTCTGGGAGCCCTTACAAATCCCGGTTTTGAGCACAGTAAAACATTATTTCAAAAACAAAATACAGAGCCGGGGAGATAGCTCAGGGGCAGAGCGCCCGCCTGACACGGGCGAGGCGGAGCCCAGGACCCCCCGCCCCAGGCACTGGGCTGGAGAGCCAGCCAGCGCGCCTCAAGCCCTGGGTTTGATCGGCAGTACAGTACCGCTCTCCCTGTCTCGCTCCCCCTCGTGGGGACAGTTCTCCAAGTCCGTATCTCGTCTGAAGGCTTTAAGTCACTTCGCCCTAGAAAACAGGTGTTTGCCTCGGAGCTCTGAAGACTCGGACCCTGGATATTCAGGCCGGACCTTTGTTCGCACCGAGCGCGACCCCACCCATTTGAAGTTTCTTACTTTGAGCCGTGGCCTCCCTAAGTTACTGCATCGCACACGCTGGACCCTAACTTTTTTTAATGCATTCAGTACAGGGCCTGCAGGGTCTCACTACGCAGATCTGACTCGTACCGATCCTCCCGTTTCCAGCCTCCCAAGCTGGGACTGCAGGTCTGCGCCACCACGCCCAGTCTCCAGCGCCGTCTGCAGCGCCCGGCAGTGAGGCCGGAACGGAAGCCAGGGGTCGGACGGCCGCTGCGCTCCGCCGAAGCAGGCGCCTCGGTCGCGGCGGCACTGGCGGCCCTCGGGCTCTGTAATCCGGGATCGTCCATCCTGCCCTCCCGCACCTCCTAGCGCCGCCGCACGTCGCCTCCCGCCGCAGGCGCCCGGCAGGGCAGCGAAGCAGGCCCTGCGCGGTCCCGGGGAAGCCGCGCCTCGCCAGCGCCCGCCCCG